GCATATAATACTTGCCTTCTCCAGCCAACACAGTGTTGCCAGTTATATGCTGCCGATTCAGGGTGCCAGTTAGAGGTGCTTCGGTGGAATTTTGAGGAGGTTTAGCTGGAACAGTAATTCCTACCTCTTCATTTGATTTTGGACCCAGTGTTGACTGTTACAAGATTAGATATTAGGAAAGAAGATGGGGGTAACTAAGAGAGGGGTAACCGTTTCAGAAAAACAATACATACAGTGTCCTCCGAAGAAGGTGCGACAACACTTTGCGCTTGCAAAGCCATTACAGCTCTGATTTGTCTGGACTTCTCAATCTTTGGCGACATTGCGGAAGCCCCAGTTTTACATCTCTCAACAAATTTGTGCTGAATTTAAAACCAAAGAGTAAATGGCATCAGCAGAACACAGAGAACTTAAACACTAAATTGCATGCCAGTTATGAAATTGATGGTAATTCTGACAACTAAAGCTGAAGACATCCTAATATTGACAAGACAGAGTCACAGTTAGCTGAAAAGAAAGAAAAATGGAAGGAAAAAAGAGCGCATTGAGATACACATACTAACGATCTCTGGCGAACAGGCAAAAGACTATCATAGTTTACCTTAAGCATCTCAGCTGCAGTTGGGCGAAGACGTGGTTCCTTTGTAAGGCACTTTGCAACAAAATCATGAAAGACCAGGGACCTGCAGAAAGTAGCAACCAACAGTCGAATGTTGCATAAGATATTGCCAAGACCTCTTTAACGAGAATTGCATTACTATGATTCAGAGCGCTTGTAGGTCAATGCTTTTGTATAAAAGTATGCTGCTAACCACATATATAAGTTTTCTTTGCCAATGCTAGAAAAATTATTAGACCCATGAGAAAAATCGTTCTGAAGCTAATAATAGACCATCAATCGATAAAGCACTGTATATATTGTGGATATGCAATTACTACAGCACCTGTGGACCCATACGTCTATGAAGCGACTACAAGGAACTATACTTTTCACAATATAAGGTGCTGATTGCGCTTGGATGATTTGGAAAATTCTCTTCTGCCTTAATGATAATCGTCGTGACAATTCTAAAGAGGTTGAAGACATACCATTTTTCTTTATCCTCGAGCATTGGAGCTGGCTCGATGGATATCATGAATAAAACCTAACAAAGACAGATGTTTGAAATGAGATATTAAATAACGACAATAGCATGATAAGATTAGTGGCCATCAAGTAAGCAAACAAGCAAAAGTTTCTCTCTCTTACGTAGTATTCAACACTAACCAATCAAGAGAAGGCCTTTTAAGAGTATTTCAAGACCTCCATTTTCTAGCCTAATAACTCTCATGTTTATGAAAAATTTCATACCAGGTCTATACAAATTTCATTCCATTTCAATTTATAGGACAAACTTAACAACAGCAAGCTGCTTTGAGATTGGTTTATAACAGACCTAACCAAACCACTTACAACCAAAGTTAATAAATGGTTCGAGCCAACCACATTTACAGAAACTCTTGAAACGAAGCCAAACTCGCACTGATGTGCAACAAATTGTTTTAGGTTTGGCTTCAAGTCATTCCTTTCAATTTTCCAAGCAGAGAAAAAAAACAAAACCATTAAAAAGGGCGAGACTGTATAGTTTGCCCATCCTAAACTCAGCAAGGTATCTGATCACTTGGAAACATAATTAAAAAGCAAGATGGCTTAATATAAATATACCAACCCTCATCGGATGAACTGCTGATCTTGGAGGAAGCCCCTGTAAACAACACAACCAAAAGTCAGAAGAAAACCACAGAATTATTAAGAATAAAATAAGGAAGAAGCGAGTTAAGTGACAAGGGGTCAAAAGTGTTAATCAAAATGTACAATTTTCTTCTTTTTTCCACAACATGTCAGGCGAGACTCAGTACAGCTAACAGGACAATCAGCTCTCAAAACAGTCACTAACTTAGCTTGCTTGCACAATTGTCGGATAAAAAGTACTAAACTGTCACCTAAGAGAAGTAGTCCCATATTACCTCTGCCATCTCGATAGCTGAAACACCAAGAGCCCATACATCCACCTGTATTAAAGAGTCAAAATGTCATCAAGTTGTAAACAGGAAAATCCTTAATTCTACTCTCTAGAAAACTTCGCAGTCTTAGTTTCTAACTGGCTTATGTACCAGATTCTAATTTCCTCTAAAAGTAGCATCCTGTGAACTGGTATGCAAACCCATTTTTAGTAAAACCTTAATTACTTTCTTCAAGAGATATAATATTAGATTTAGTAGACGTGAAAATTTAAACTCCAGCAATTAACATTTAGATATGAAAGGGACCACTAAATCAGTCCATAAAATGTGAAGTTTTTTAAATTAATCGAAAAACTTGAAGGAGTTTATCAGACAATTTACTGTCAAATAGGACACCTACCTTCCCATCATAACGATTTTCCTGAATAACCTCCGGGGCCATCCAATGTGGAGTCCCAATGAACTTCAAACAAGACAAAACATTAAAGAATCCACCATCAGGCGCAGAAAGTCTCTAAGGCTTTAATAGCCCGACTGATCAAAGAAAGCTTGAAGCATTAACCATAGGAACTTTATTCAAATATGTATTTACCGTGTTTCGCTTCGACATAGTCCGCGTAAGTTGAGCTGCAACCCCAAAATCACCTGAAAAGATAAGGTAGCGAACTTTGGAATCAGCATGCAGCTGTAAAGCAATAAATAAAAATTCTAATTAAAAACCGATAAGGCTAAGGAAGATTCTAAGCTTTAAAACATAAAAGCCTGCATGTGTAATAAAAATAACATAAGTAAAGGCAACTCTTCAAACAGGTGGTTATATAATTCCCCAAGCTAACTTACCCAACTTGACCTCTCCTTGTTCAGTTAACAAGATATTACCACCTTTAATGTCTCTATGGACTTTATATATTGAGTGCAAGTATGCAAGGCCCTACAAAATAGATACAAACAGAAGTATAAGGCCTAAAACATGTTGAAGCAAATGAGCGCAAGCAAAGACGGAACCATCAAATACAGGAGAGCAGACATCATTTTTCTTCTTCATGCTTCTAGCCATTCTATAAAGTGAAAAAGGTACAGACAATTGTGTGCATACCTTCAACGCCTCCCGGCATATATATGCTATCTGATACTCCTCCAACGCCTCCTCGGTAACATTCATAAGATCAGCAACACTTCCACCTCCACAATACTCCATCACTATCTGTCAGAAGACATAAATTAATAACTAGAGAGAGCGAATACATAAACTATAATATATAAACGAAGAAAAAAAAACTGATTCCAAATAGTAAGAGCTCCTATATACAACAAAGATAACCAAGCTGAGGCCCAGATGCTCACCCAAAGATAATCTTCTCCTTGGTAACTCCCAAGGTAGCGGACAACATTTGGATGGTTACACTGCTGCAGCATCTCAATTTCTCCCCGGATCTCTTCATATCCCTCCTCCTGATAAAAGTAGAACTTGAATCACATAGAGTGCTTTAGCAACTATGACATTTTAACTTATGCTGAGGACAAGCTTTTAATACCCCTTCAGTAAGTGATATGACTTTAACAGCAACAATCTCCGATGTTTTCAAATCTCTTGCCTTGTATACAGATCCATATGATCCTTTCCCTGCCAATCCAGATGCCAGATTTGATATAGTAAGCAAAAATTGGAACAAGCACTGAGGGATATTGATAGCTGATCATGATCATAGCAACATAATGGAGCAAATCCGATAGAGACAAACACCAAATTAACTCTATGAAGCTAGATATGCTAATTTACCAAGTTCATTGAGGAATTCGTATTTGGTGGTTGGATCTTCTCTAGTAATGCTATCCGGAAGAGACGTAGTCGACATCTTACTGTTCTGCTGCTGCATTTTCCGATTATCTTCACCTTGAAGCTTCGAAGAAGAAGAGGAAGGATCCAATTTCCGAGTCTTACCACCAAAATTTGATTTCTGCATACTCGCAACAGCTCTTCCCATAGTTGACATATCAATCTCCTTCTCTTTATTCTTTCCCTTTTTAGACGAAGATTTCACAACAAACGTACCGTACTCTCCGTCATCATCATCATCTTCTTCTTCTTCGTCTTCCTCATCGGAAGATTCCTCATCTCCACCTCTCGCTCTCCTCCTAGGACTAACTCCCATACGCGGTTTGGAAGAGTACGGACTGTTCTTACTATGACTACTCCGATCTGTTTTCACAATCATCGTGCCGAAATCTCCGGTTTCGTCACCGTCGTCGTCGTCGTAATCGAGCGACGCGCCGCCTCCGAAATCTTTGGGAAGACGCTTGAGAAGAGGAGGAAGCATAGAATCGTCTTCATCATCTTCCTCTCCTTCTCCGTCACTATCACCTTTGTAAACCATTGTAGCGTATAAATCGACATTTTCGTCTTCCTCAGGTTTGGCTTTACGTTTATCTCGATTTCGACCTTGATCAGAATCGGAGTCGGAGTGGACTACGAAAGTGGAGTATATGTCGGATTTGGGCTCCGGTTTCCGGCTCCGACGAGATCTCGGCGAGTTATGATCCATCTATGGCGGCTCTAACCGTCGTCGCCGGGAGAGAGAAAAAGAGAGTCAGGCAGACTACTTCTCGTCGTTAAAATTAATGATGAACAAAAAAATCATTAAAAAAAAGGAATGGGCCAACTAAATTTTTTTGCAAGCTGGAATATTAATTTAATTCTATGTTTGTCTATGCACCCTCTAAACATTAGTGTTTCTTGCATAATTATTTGTTACAGTAAATATATATTGGTGTAAAAAAATAAATAATGGTTATAAAGTACGACAAAAAGTTGCAGAAGATAGAGAAAAAAAAAGATAACGGTATATTCCGTTGAAGAAAAAAAAATGGTATATTCCGTTTTGACCTTACCGTTTTACCGATTACCAATTAAAGTGTTCAATTGCGGAAATGGGATACAAGATTGTTCTTATTCGTTTTTCTTTAACATTTATTTGAGGTTTTTATGAATCGAAACGTGAAAAAAATAGTAGAAATCTAGAGAGAATGTTATTGTTTGAAAGACGAGAATACAACAATTGAATCACATAGAAATTTAGAGATTATACAGATTTTATATTCTGCTAGGGACCAAGAGGCAAGAGGTTCCACGAAAATGATACAAGGGTGACTTGGGATAAAGAAGATAGAGTGACCAAGTTTGCCTCAAATAGCTAGTTGCTACCACCACCAAAGAGGTAATTCAGAGACGAGCCACCTCCTGGAGCTGAGTGAACTTTGGTCGATGGCCGGTCCTGCACAACAACCACAAGATGTTTTCGTAACTGTACCATAACTTTTAGACATTTGATTACTTTGTTAGCGCACAAAAAAACAAAACAAAGCTTCATTGTCAGCCAACTAATCTAAAAAAAGTAAGACGCAGATTTTTTTGCTATCCGATAACCAGCACACAGAACCCGATTCATTGAAAGAAGGAGACATACCGTAATGAAGTTGCCTGTGTTCTGTCCTTCTGCACGCATGTAATTATTTGTAGAGTTGCTATTGAGACCAGCAGGAACTTGTTTGATGCTATCAACAGCCTTTGGAGCAGCAGTTTGAAGAGGTGGAGCAGGAGCAGAAGACTGGGTTTCGGCTGGAGCTTTGTTAACGGTTGATGGCTTTGGAGCCTCTCCGCTCCCAAAAAGATATCCCAAAGAACTCTGCCCTCCACCGGCACTAACTCCACGACCCATTCTATCTCTCTTGCTTCTCTCAAAGATTCTTTAGCTTTTGGGTTCAAAAATATGATAAAATCTTGAATCAGAATCATATTTTACACAAAAACATTATCCACTAAACGATATGAAACAACAAAAAAGAATAGTGGAGTGATCACTCAATTAATCATAATTTGTTTGTGAAAGCTTCTGTTAAAAAACATTCACATCTACAACGCAACAAAACCAAAATATGAATTAAGACTTGAGAGTCATTAACAACTTATCATCACCAATATAATAACATCATTGAAAAGACTTGCCAGATGAATTTTGAACCACACTATCTTCATCTTACCCTAACAAAAGCAATTGCTCAATAACCTAGCTAGAGGCTAGAGTATACAAACATTCTTTCATACATCAATCAAATTCTGCATATCCGAACCTATCCGTTGATGCAATGCTATATATGAACACAACATGTCAACATACAGAGAAAAAAAACAACAAATGAAAAAAACTTCTCAAACAAACACCTAAGTCGAGAAGGAAACAACACAAAACACCAATCAAGTTTACCTGATCAGCAAGGTGATTTGAGAAGAAGCCAAGAAGAAGAGCCAATGAGAGATAACAAGAAGCCTGTGAATTGTGATATATATATACTAAATAAAGGTGACGGAAAATAGTAAGGTAATGCTTATCTGGCACGTCATTATCCAACAGAACAACAATCACTGTATAAGCCGGTGTCGTTTTGTAACTTTAAACCTTTTTCTAGTGTAATCCAAAAATTAACTTAGCTTTCTTCCTAATCTTTTTGCATTAGTGATTCAAAACTTTTATAAAGCATTACTGTTTGATAAAACTGTTACAAATTATAAAAAAACGGACCCATTCTCAAATGTGTTTTTGTTCATATCTCTCCAAAAAAAAAAAAAACAAATCCGACAATCTCTAACTTTATGTTTACAGGATCCTATGTCCGGTTCGGTTTACATAACCGGTAACATTGATCAAGAAGATTTCTTGGGAGGTAATTGAGAAATCTCGACGAGTATTCGGTTCAAAGACTGAGGACGAGAGAAGAATGGTGCATGATCAGAGCCCTTGAGATTGAAAACTTGTTCAGGAGGATTCGATTTGATCATTGCATCTTGTAGAGAAACCGGTACAGCGTAATCATCCTCCATGGTTTTGATGTAGAACCGTCGGATTGAACCGTAGTTTTTCTCCGACACGTGAAGCTTTTCGACCACTGGCGCGAACGGGATCGGTCTCATGGATACCGACGCTAATGCAACGTCCTGTACCAAAAAAAGACAAGTCGGGTTTAGTTAAACCGAATTGTACCGGTTCAGCTATTTATTAGCCTTATGTGTAGTGTACCTTTGGAGGGCTCTGATTAAAGAAAAAGTCTCTAAGCAAAGATCTGTCGAAATCAACGGCTGTTGGAGGGTTCTTTTTTCCGTTGGCGTACAGAAATAGATGGACTTGTTCCATCAGATCATAATTTGAGTCAGGCTGCAAATCAAATGGTTGCAATTAGATTTTAAAAATTTTTGGTGCTTAGTTAATTTTAACAAGATATTGTGTAAAATAATTTGTTATCTTATCATTTTGGCAAATAAATGCCAAAATTAGGCTACTTAGTGCATAAACTCTTTAAAAAATAGAAACAAATGTTTTGGAGAAAAAAGAAAAAGAAAAAACCTGTTGGTTAAAGAGATCAAGAGTGCTTTGGGCATTAGCCAACATAGCAGCAGAGATGAAGATAGCCTTCGAGATCTTAGAAGGGTACATCTCCATGGCATAAGACATACAAGCACCTCCAAAATCATGCCCCACTAATATCACCTGCTCACACCCATCAATTTATATCTTAAATTTGTTAGTAAATTACCATTTTTAGTGTTATTGAGACCAAAAAAAAAAAACATTATGATAAGATGAAAGTGAGACCTTCTCGGTGGGTTTAAGGGTGTCGAAGAAGTGGAGGAGGGGTTTGACGTATTGAGAGAGGCTAGTGATGTTGTTTGTATCGAAAGAGCTGACACCAGAACCGGTCAAGTCAACGGCATCGACTTGGAAACCATGTTTCTCTAAGAGCGTTATGGTTTTGTACCAACACCATGCACCAAACCCTCCTCCATGAACCAGGACGAACCGCTTCGTCTCCGCACCTTCCACCTTTAGCTCCTGCTTCCATCCATTTATATCATAGTATCATATAATGATTAATGAGTCTCAATAGCGAATTTGGCTAAAACAAATTAAAAGATTAACACAAATATGTTTATGTAATCATCCATGTGTAACAAGTGATTGTTCTCACAAAAACATTTAACAAAAATGTCGTTTTATATATTTTTCATTCAATGTTTTTGGTTATTCACTTCAATTCCTCAAATGAATCTATAGGAACTAGCCGGTTCAATTTTTACCGGTTTGAACAGTTCGATGAATCTAGGGGTGTATCATGTAACGGAGCCAAATAAATGGACAATATAAAAGTACTTGCCTTGTCTAGGAGCTGATTGGGTTTAAGAACAGGATCGGTGCTTGATCTCTGCCTATTACTAGAACTTCTAACGTATCCATAAGTGGATTTCTTAGGAGTCAAGGCGCCGGAAACAGAACCTACGGAGGCGGCTACAGCGGCAGGAGGTGGCTGAGTGTAAACGACGGAGGTGGAGCGTCGGAAAGGAGGAGCAGAGTTGCTGTTACGAGGCGTTTGACTAAAGAGGATATTAGTGGCGGCTAAGGTTTGTTCTTGGATTAGAGAGTCTTTCTCGTGATCATGATGATGCTCTTGGTGGTGTCTTTCTCTGATCTTTTTTTTTGTCTTGATCCCTCCTTTCTTGGACGTAGACGAAGTTGAGGATCCGGAGCAAGAGAGAGATGGAAGTAATGTCCGGCGTCGGAAAGATGGTATTAGAGACAGCCTCCGAACGTGTTTCTCCGAGCTATTACCGTTGACGACGGAGCTAGGTTTCTTCTGGTTTGGATCTTGTTCTTGCGATATGCATCTTAAAGAGTTTCCCATTTTTTTAATTTTTGGTTTTTCTTGTAATGTGTACAAGTTTGTGTGTATGTGTTTTATATATATGTAGCATGTTCGTGCTTGCATGTGTATTATTTTGATTTCTGATGGGTGAAAATGAAGAGTTGAGACTCTCACGTTGTGAAGCTGTACTTAATGTAAATCTGTTTGATCGTGATAGTTTTGACACACTTTTTTTACTTGAGACTCACGAAAACGCACATATGAGAAAAATTGATTTAAAATTTTGATTATTCTATCATCAACTAATGATAAAAAAATAAAACTAATGAAAATTGTTTGCCTATACAGATGGAGATAGAAGAAAGAGGGAGGAACATGGAAGGGCACTTTCTTTGAGCATTTTGCTACTTTGACTTTCGAGTGCAGACTATTTCTTTACAACGATAAAACATATTTATCCTCGTATCTTTCTTGTTTATATATAGATCTTTTTCTTTTGTCAGTCCCTAGCCATTGTGACCAACGACTACGACTAAATGTTGTTTATCCGATAGCTACCATCAAGCGATACTTTTGGTTGCTAATTTTTTTAGCGATTTTCACTGAATTTGGTGACTACAAAACAAATAATATGGCGATCACTGAATCGGATTTATTCGGATTCGGATAATTCGGGTAGGAGAGTTTATTATCCGTTCGGATTTTGTGACTATTCGGATCGGGTTCGATTCGGATAGTGTCAGATTCGGATCGGTTTCGGTTCGGATAGTGTCAGATTCGGATCGGTTTCGGTTCGGATAGTGTCTTTTTCGTGATAAAAACTAAAAAAATGTTTAATATGAATAAAAAATAGTTTAGTCTTACTAAAATTTGGCTAAATTTCGTAAAAATAAGTATAATTTTAACAAATATAACTAAAAAATTTCCGATATCTAGGTTATTTATAATTTTTGTTCTTTGTTATAAAATTATAGCTAAATATAACTAATATTTTTGAATATATAATTTTATTTTTGGTTTTCGGATATCCTTTCGGTTTTTGGTTCGGATCGGGTTCGATTCGGATAATTCGGATAGGAGAATTCATTATCCGTTCGGATTTCGTGACTATTCGCTTCAGATTCGAAACCGGATTTTTCGGATTGGTTTCAGATCGGTTTTCGAATTTCGGATTTTATGCCCAGGCCTCATCGATTGTCAAATACCTCGAACATGATTTGTTTTGACGAACAATATTCCCTATAACCTTTCTATGAATACCACTCCATGTTGCATGATTGGGAGTAAAGGCTGCCAAAAATATAATATATTTTGAAATCTTCTTAGAGCATATGCAAGGGGGAACACTTGGTGTGTTCTTAAGGGTTTTAAAATAATAAAAATGTTAAATAGTGGATACAACTGTTCTTAAAATTATAAAAAACTGTTCTTCAGGAAGAACAGTTTGCAGGATAAGTTAGAACTGTTCTACCACTGTTCACCTTATTTCCTATTTTTAAATCCTAAGAACACACTCAAAAGTTCCCCCCTTGCATATGGTCTTATGGAGTCAGGTTCGTGGGAAACCGTAGTGGTAGATATATCGGATCAACCGAAAGGATCATTAAATCATGGGCCAAGGTTAAAATTTATGGATCTTCAATTTCATGCCTGTTTGATTCTAAGAATATTATTTTGAATTATGATATAATTATTTCTTTTTATTAATTGTAAATTTGGCATATTTGTTTATTGGAAAGTCTTGATAAAGTGGGAATTTGACTTTTCTTCTATATGATATATTATTCTCTAACGTTAATTGTATTAAGTGGTGATTGATCTATTTCTTTGTGTAGAAAAGGAGTAACGTTAGTCGTGGAAAATTTCTCTATAAGAAGAAGATGTGTTGTGTCTTCCAAAGTATACACTTGCTACACTGTTAAAACAGAGAAACAGAAAACAAAGTTCATTATTCAAGTGTTGTGTGACTGTTTAGTTTGAGAGAGATAACCTTGGGAAGAAGTTGTTGCCGCTGTGAGGAGCACGAAGCAAGGATTTCAGCAAGAAGAAGACATCCATGATTAAAGGAGAGTAAATGTTTTACTCGTGATATCTTATATCATGTTTTAGATAGATATGTTAAAATTTGTGTAAAAGTTTTATTTCTATCTTGTATTGTCTTCTTAAAGTTATCTAATAAACTTGTTTGCAGTCGAGGACTAGGGGTTGGTTTGAAAGAGAACCAACTGATACCTCGTTAAATCTCGTGTCGTCTCGTTTATTTCTTTATTGTTTATTAAGCTTCCGCACTATTTTAATATCTAGTTTATCTCAAAAATTTACAATGCCCATGGATGAGAAGATTTACAACATTTGGTAAAAACAACATCTCTAATTGTCTTTGTTTATAAACATATGCGAGGTAGTGCGGATCCAGAGCAATTATATCAATATTGGCTTGTAATTCATTATTCACTAGAAATTTATTATTTCATAGATTAGGACCCGTGTGATCTTCCAAAAAAAAAAGATAAGGACCTGTGTGATACACGAATTAAATGATAAATAGTATTTTAGAAAATTTAGTAAGTTGTCTTGTAATTTTATGTAAACATTATGTTAATCAATTATGAATCTTATATGTTTGGATTTGAATCAGCAAAATATACCTTTTAAGATATCTTATAACCTTTTATTTTATCCAAACTTATCTTATTA